ACCTCCAATCTTGATCAAGAATTGATCTTGATCACTCAATTCCTGCCTGATTTTTCCTGATTACAAGAAGCTCTCTCCAATCTTAGGACAGCTGCTAAAGCCTTCTTGCAACCTCCAAGAATCAGCCGAAATAAGGATCTTTCTGAACTTTCAGCCCTAAACAATTCTCATGTGGTTGGCTGAATTAAGTCCACATGAGAAACCCTAGATCTAAAGCTTTGATACCAAGTTGAAAGAAGAAGAAGAATTGTTTACTGTATTACAGGTTTGAAGAGAAGAAAAGAGAGAGAGAGAGAGTGAAGAGAGGAGAAAAGAAAGAAGGTAGGGCTGTTCACAAAAAAATCCAAACCGACCAACCCGGCCCGACCCAACCCGAGTTGGCCGGTTTTTCTTCACTATCGGTCGGTTTCGGGTATAAAAAATGAACAAACCGATATGTGAAAAAATATATTCTGAAAGAATATTTGTTAAATATAGATATTTTAGTTTTAAATAATAAATATATATTCTGAAATGTATCAGATATATATTTCCGAAATATATATTTCCAGAAATTAGAAAATATATATTTCGATATATTTGTATATATGTTTTGGTTTTAAATATATATTTCCAGAAAATATATTCTAAAATATTATATATAATATTAGCACTTTGACTTCATGTGCATTGTGCAAGCTTGGAGTTGGTTGAAACCCAAACCGACCAGGTCGGTTTTACTTAATAGAGGGTCGGTTTCGGTTTGGTCTAGAGGTAACCCAACCAGGTTGGGTCGGTTGAAAAACACTACTAAACCAACCCAACCCGACCCGTGAACAGCCCTAAAAGAAGGGGTTCAGTAGTGAATAATCTGCTGCCCCCATACACTCTTTTATTTATAGCTTTTAGGATCCTTACAAGAGTTGGAAATGAACAAAAATTATAAACAATAAGGCCAGCCTGCCCAACTTAATAGAAATTAGAAACTTCTAATAACAGAAATTAGAAACTACTAAAAAGAAATTAGAAACAACTAGGTGATGGTATGTAGATTCTTTTGAGTTACTCTAGCAAGGATGCTGGCAACTTGATAATGCGACTACACAAAAAGGCATCAAGTGTCTTGAGAAACAATTTGATCCTTGATTAAGTGTCCAGTTTCTATGTATTTGGTCCTATCAATAGTTGACAGGATTATGCACAACGCTGATGACTGACTTGCAATACCAAGAAGGTTTCAATCATCTCCACCTTCTACCAAGAAAGTTTCATATCAATGAAAAAGTCTGTCTGTTCCATGAACTATGGCCTTAAATTAGCCAACTCCTCTTGGACACGTGGGGTCTGTCTCCCTTCCCTAATCCCTTGAGGATAAGTTAAAAACAATTTGAAAGAATTCAATCTCCTTTTGATTCTGTTTTGATAGATTAGACAAAATGGGAATCTTTAGGGCCTTTAGGTCCTGCATCAGTAATACTATTATCATAGAATAATTAGTTGCATCAACAAACTTTTTGATTAAGGTATTTGGATAGTACATGCAGACTTGTGTTTAGCTGTATCTAATGTGAAATATATGAATGCAATAAAGTAAATCAAGGAAAAAGGAAAGAAGATCTTGACCTTGCTATAATGCATGAATATGGTTAATGTGAAAGTCTTCCCATAAAGAAAAACTTTAGGTAAAATATCGTCCTCTTGTTCCTTCACAAAATTACATTTGAGAAACCCAGATAGGTGTACCCAAGCTAACCATAACATCTAGCCAAGTAAACAGTTTTTACCTTTCCTGAATTCTTTAATCTACTGGACTTGCACGATTTAATACTGTCATCAACAGCATCAGATACAGCCTCATCTGTTCCCTCAGCAGTGGCCCTCTCAATTATGCAAAATCTCTTTTTCTGCAAAAGCTTAACAAGAGCAATAAGAGCATCGTGGCTCATTTTCTTCGACTCAAGCACTTCCTTTTCATTAGATTCACACAGGTGGGATGGGGATGATGACTCCATTATATCTGAAACATTTGAGGAAATTCGACAGTGATCTAATGTATCTGATGCAAAATAAACCACTTTATCTGTATCAGGTATAGAAAGTGTCTTGGGAAGAGCCATATATGGATAGAGAGCCAGCACATAGGTAACATCCACTGATGATGCCAAAAATTGTTCCATAGCCTCCTCATAATTCCCATTATCAAACAAATAGTGTCCATACCTGACTAAGGTACATATAAGTTAGCTTGTACTAAACTTTCCCACAAATACATTTTTAGAAACCTAAATGTATGGAAAATAATAGAAATCTGGAGGACAGAAAGATCTAAAAATTAACAAATGCAGCAAATATCATTAGACAACAACACTTGTACTGTGAGACTGACCAAATATTTCCCTTTGCTTGCACATAAGCTACTACTTCCGAAATTCCTAAGATAGGTATTTGGAATGATTATGCAACATGAAGAGCGGATGCATGCTTACATTCACATATAAAGATGTGTTTAACCGAAAATAGGTGTATAAAGACCACATACCACCCTTATCTAGGCCATTTATTGAAAACATGTACACTGAATCATAGTTAACCAAATATAAAAGGTTAAGAAAAAATGGAATTTTACCATCTGAATAGACAAGAAATAGAAAAATGTTATAAATAATAGCATTTAATGTGCTATTTACTTTTAGGGCATCTTTGTAAAACAATTTTATAAGAGAAATCAATTATTATACTTAATAAATATGATAATATTTAATACACCTTTAGTAGTAGAGTAACCGAGATAGAAACACTGAACAGCTTTAGGATCATGTTTGGAACAAAGGGATCCATTGACATGAATAAAACAAACACAGCCCGAAGACTTTGGGACTTGGGAGAAACACAAAAGACAAGACAATCAGGATGTAAAACTTGAAATGAGACTGAGAAATCTAAAAACCATAAAGGCATTCTATTAAAGAGAGATGCAACAGTCAATGCAACCTCAGACAAAAGAACTTTTAGAACATGCATACTGAACAAGACACCCCAAGCTATTTCAAGTCCGTCTCCTCTCAACAATCTCATTTTGTTGAGGTGTATATATAAATGCCATTTGATGTATAAACCCATGGAAGAAAAAATAGTTACTAAGGGTAGACTCTGTAAAGAAACTCAATGCAATAAGCATGAGAGCAATTCTGCAATTTCCTCTATACAATGACTTTTTGTATTTAACCTAATAAGACTGATTGAGAGGGCAATTAGATATAATCACTCTTTCAAAACTGCATACTCTCTATATTTCTTCTTCTATTTCTCTTTCCTTCTACATCACTCCTCCCATCTTCTAATGGAAAGTATACCAAAAGGAATCCGGAAGCTAAGGAGATGCATGCATATACACGGGTTAACAACAGAAAGAGGAGGAACAGAATGTGCTAGTAGATGCCCAGGCAGGAAATGGTGCAGAGGAAAGCAATAAGAGGATCAGATAGCAGAGGTAATGGTGATTGAAACTCACAAAATTGAGAAGAGAAATGTTGTGGAAAAGTGGTAGAGGAGGTTGAGATAAACAAATTTTTGGGTTTACTCTTCCTGGGGAAACAATTTTTCAAGGAAGGCATTTAATGAGATGGAAAATAAATAAGAAGGGCCAAAAGAGAAAAATAAAGACAAAGAAACCATTCAGGACAATGTAGACCTAGGAGATCATTTACTGAATCCTGAGTGAGATGAAACCGGGAAAGGGGTATAAGTTCAGAAGCAAATAACTGAGATGAGGATTTACCATAGTTTTCAAGGCGCTAGGGCAAGGCTAGGCGACAGGGGCACCTTGTTGCCTAGTTGCCTAGGAGATGGATTTTTTTTTTAATGTAAAAACATAGATTCTAGGGTAGTTCCCTAGGTACCATAACCATATTTTCTTAATAATTGTTGAAGATTAATCAGTTTTATGATATTTTTTATGAGTAGTAGTTGTTAGATAGGAGGTGGGGACCACAATAGTTATGTGAGTCCAAATTTTATTATGTTTTTGTGTCTTATATATGCTGTTTTATGTCTTGCCACTATAAGGGCATAGTTGTCTTTGTACTGCTCTATTATTTTTAGTATAAATAATAAGTGAAGGGGGCAGCCAGATTATTGCTCTCTTTTCTTTTCAATTTCTCTTCTTCTCCTTCTCTCTTCCTTCTTTCTTCAAGAAAATCCTTTTATTTCATATTTTTTTTTAAATTCAGCAAGCTTTCTACTTGGTATCAGAGCGGTGGCTAGGGTTTCTAGAAGCATTCTCATGCAGACCTAGATCAGTCGATTGCATGAAGTAATAAAGGGCTGATTGATCTGTTGTAGATTGCCCAGTTCTTTGATTTTTTTGTGGAATCTAGTCATCAGAAAGGTGATCTACTATTCGGTATCAAAATCAGGAAGAACTGGAGTACGAGGAAGAGTCCTAGAAAAGTTGGACTCTTTGTTTTTTATCTGATCTTGGGCGGCCAGGTATTGTTAGCTTTCTTTAGATTTTCTAAAGAGTGCGGTTTGGTTTCTGGATTTTTCTGAGCCTCTTGGAGTGATCGATTCACTCTTCTCTCTGTTGGGAAGCGTGGGGAGGAGAGAGATTTCTCTCCAGCTAGGGTTTTCTTCTTCTAGAAGGGTTTGTTTTTGTGTGTGATATTAAATTGTTTTTGGAAGGTTTTCAATCTATTTTTTATTACTATTGAACTGTTTGAAGTAAGATGGAGAGTTGGAATACCAAGATGAAATCTACTGATATTGTAGGATTAGGTGTTGGAGGTAGTAGTGATATTTTTTGGTCTGGGATCATTACTACAGTAAAACTTGATGGTACAAATTATTTGGAATGGGCACAATCAGCTAAGATGGTTATTGGTGCCCATGGAAAATTAGGGTATCTCACTGGGGAGAAGAAACCTAATGCAGACTCTTCCCAATGGGTGCAGGAGAATTACATGGTAATGTCCTGGCTGTGTAATTCTATGTTACCTCATATTGCAAAAAAATTTCTATGGATTAATACTACTAAGGAGATTTGGGATGGAGTCACAGAAACCTACTCTCAGAAACAAAATGAAGCCAAAGCCTATCAGTTAAGGAATCAGGTGATAAGTATGAAACAGGGAGAAAAACCTCTTGCTGTGTATTTCTCCATGCTGAAAACCCTATGGCAGGAAATAGACCACTTAGACACTATGGTATGGTAAAGTGTAAATGATGCAGTAACCTATCACAGACTGGTAGAGAGGAATAGGGTTTTTGAGTTCTTGGCAGGGCTGAACCCTGAATTTGACATTGCTAGGCAGCATATTCCTTTTAGGGAGGGTGTGACACTCTCTTAAGCCTATGCCTTTGTCTCTAGAGAGGAGAGGTAGGAGGAATGTAATGCTAAGATAGCCTGGGATTGACCAGTCAACTATGGTTGGTACAACAAAACCTAAGCCGAATTAAGACAAGGGGACTAGTGAGACTAGAAGGGAAGGTAAGAAGGACTTGATTTGTGATTATTGCAAGAAGCCTAAGCATACTAAGGACACTTGTTGGAAGTTTCATTCAAATCTTATGCCTACCCGGATAAGGAACAAGAAAGGAAATGCAAATGTAGCCACTACAGGAGACTCTTCGGTCCCTCTTTCCCAAACTGATTGGGAATCCATTGCAGTAGCAGTAGTGATGACAGAATTGGAAAGGTTTGAACAACTTATGAGTAAAAAAGATTTACCTAGCACTAGCCTTCTGGATGGATAGCAGAATGCAGGAACCAGCTACACCTCTTCCTTTGCACATACAGGTAGTTCATATGCAACTGCAAATCTTGCATCCACTTCAGGTAAGGAGGGACCTCCTTGATTATAGACTCAGGAGCATCTGAGCACATGACTAATGCCCCTACCCTTTTCAGTTCCTATCAGTTGTGTTCTAGTAGAGACAAAGTCTCTACAGAAGATGGTCGCATATTCCCATTGCTAGGAAAGGGACATTTAGAGTGACCAATAATATAACTTTGTCTTCTATTTTACATGTCCCTAGACTTCATACCAACCTACTGTCTATTAGTTCTTTGACAAAGAATTTGAATTGCTCTGTGACCTTTCTTCCTGGTAATTGTGTTTTGTAGGATCTGGAGTCAAAGAAGATGATTGGGAGTGGTCGTGAGGTTAATGGAATCTACCTTCTGGATGAGGTTCCGAGACATCAGGGCCATCATGTTAGTAGTTGCAGTAGTAGTGGGTCAGAGTCAGTGAACCAGATTTTACTCTAGCACAATCGCTTGGGACACCTTTCTTTTAGTTTTTTGAAATGTCTTTTCGCAAAGTTGTTTGAGTCTGTTCAGTTATCTACTTTGGAGTGTGAAAGTTGTCAGTTAGGAAAGCATTGTAGACAGTCTTTTAAACCAAGTAATAAAAGAAATACTTTTGCTTTTAATATTGTTCACATTGATGTATGGGGGCCATATCATATCCCTTCCATGGGAGGATTCCGTTACTTTCTCTTGTTTGTCGATGGTTATACACGATATTCTTGGATATATTTGATAAGATCACGTGATGAGATTCCTAACTTAGTACGACAATTCCACCAGATGGTTCTCACACAATTTGGAGTGAGAACTAAGGTTTTTAGATCAGATAATCCAGAGAGTACTTTGAGAAGGACCTGACCATGTATCTCCTAGAACATGGGGTAATTCATCAGTGTAGTTATGCATATACACCACAACAGAATGGAGTTGCTGAGAGAAAAAACAGACACATTGTGGAGGTGGCAAGGAGTTTTATGGTGTGTGTTTCAGTTCCTGTACAGTTCTGGGGAGATGCAATTCTTACAGCCATGCATTTGATTAACCGTGTTCCTTCACAGACTTTGGGGTTTAGGGTGCCATTTAGTCTATTTTTTCCAAATGGGGAGATATTTCATATATCTCTGAGCGTTTTGGGTGTGTTTCCTTTGTTCACATTCTTGGCCCTCATCACAAGAAATTGGATCCTAAGGCAAGAAATGTGTTTTTCTTGGGTATTCTTAAAACCAAAAGGGGTATTGTTATTATGACCCAGTGTCGAGGAGTAGATTTGTCACAATGGATGTTACCTTCTTTGAATCCACCTTCTTCTTCTCAAGTGGTTCTCCTCAGGGGGAGAGTTTTAGGGAGAACTCACAATATGTTCATCTTCCAGTTTCTTTGGTGCCTTCATCAGTTCAGCCAACACCTTCATCAGTTTAGCCAACACCTCCATCAGTTCAGCTAACACCTGCACTTCCAGTTTCATTACCTGAGCCACTACGAGAAGCCTCACAGAAATATCAGTGCCAGCGCGACACCACTCTCTATCAGTCCTTCTGAAACTCCAGATTCGGAAGATACAATTCCAGGTATTCCTCTTGAGCTTGAGCCTATTATGTTTTCTGATGATAATGTTCATGTCCCTAACACCATTGTTGCAGCTGATCCCACTGACCTTGATCTTCTCATTGCACTTTGTAAGGGGAAGAGAAAGTGTACAGTCCATTGCATTTCACACCATCTTTTCTTCAGTGCCTTATCACCCTCCTACCGTGCTTTTCTTTCTTCCCTAGATTCTATCTATACCCAAGAATGTTACTGAGGCTCTCTCCAAACCTGAGTGGAATAGTCATGCAAGATGAGATGAATGCTTTGGTTAAAAACCAAACTTGGGAAATAGTTGATCTCCCCCCAAACAAGGAGACTGTTGGATGTAGATGGGTCTTCACAGTGAAGTATAGGGTTGATGGCAAGATAGAGAGATACAAGGCAAGGTTGGTAGCAAAAGGGTATACTCAGACCTATGGTGTTGATAATCTGGAAACCTATGCACTGGTAGCTAAGATGAGTTTAATTCGTATCATTTTATCTCTAGCAACCACCTATTCATGGCCTTTGTTTCAACATGGTGTCAAAAATGCCTTCCTCAATGGTGATTTACAGGAGGAGGTATATATGGACATTCCAGCAAGCTTTTATGAGAATGTTGGCAAGGGAAAAGTGTGCAGACTCAGAAAATCTTTGTATGGACTGAAACAGTCACCTATGGCTTGGTTTGACAGGTTCAGAGGGGCACTCATCCGTTTTGGATACACACAGACACAGTCTGATCACACTCTCTTTGTAAAGAGGAGAGATGCTCTGGTGTCAATTCTGATTGTGTATGTGGATGATATAGTAGTGACAGGAAATGATCCGGAGGAGATTGATGATCTCAAAAAATCATTGCAACAAGAATTTGATATCAAAGGTCTTGGTAAGCTCAAATACTTCTTGGGGATTGAAGTTGCAAGATCCAAGCATGGGATCTTCATTCCACAGAGTATGTACTTGACCTATTGCGGGAAACTGGGAAGTTGGGACCAAACCAGCAAACACTCCTATTGATCCAAATCACAGAATTAATAGTGTGGATGGTGAGTTGGTAAAGGATGTGGGGAGATATCAAAGAATGGTGGGTTGACTGCTGTATTTGTGTATGACACAACCAAATATTTCTTATGCTATCAGTGTTGTGATTCAGTACATGCATGCACCTCGGATTCAGCACTGGGAAGTTATTGAGAAGATACTTGCATATCTGAAAAAAGCACCCTGGCAGAGGCATTCTTTTCTCAAATCATGAAAATCTAAAGCTAGAGCCCTATACAGATGCAGACTGGGCAAGATGCATAGATGACAGGAGGTCTACATCAGGAGTGTCTACCTTTGTAGGTGGAAACTTGATCTCCTAGAAGAGTAAGAAGCAAGCGTTTGTGGCAAGGTCAAGTGCAGAGGCTAAGTATAGATTCATGGCTCATGGTGTCTCAGAACTTCTTTGGGTTAGATCTCTTGTGAGTGAGATTGGGGTGAAAGCAGATGAACCTATGATGTTATACTATGACAATCAGGCTGCAATCAATATTGCCCACAATCCAATTCAGCATGATAGGACAAAACACATTGAAGTTGATAGACACTTTATAAGAGAAAGGGTAATAACTGGAGAAGTCTGTTTGCCTTGTGTCTCTTCAGAGTTGCAGCTGGCTGATGTTCTCAATAAAGGGGTGGCAAAGAATACAAGCAGACTTTGTCTGCCTTATGTCTACCTGAAGTAGTTACAGGCAGAAATTTGGGGAAGATGATATCATGGTTAACAAGTCATAGGATGTTTAGAAGAAAGAATACAAATACTTTTTTTATTTTATTTTGAAAATTATTGTAAACAGTCAGGGTCTGTTTGCTTAAACATATAGTGAACAGCTTTGGATATTCCCCAAGTACAACCTGTTATACAGGAATTATTTTTTGGTTTCCTGTTTATTGATGAATCCATTATCCTAACTTTCTCAATATACATATATATATATATATATATATCCTTCACTTCTTCAATATCTTCTATATTTATTCTTATTTTTTCCAATTTTAATTTCTCCAAAATATATATCACAAGTAGGGTAAGTGTTGAAGGATTTGACTGCTTATATTTTGTTTTTATTAATTTTTACACTGATATATGGTACTGGTTGAAGGCCAGGGGAAAATGAGTGGTCATTTTCCTTATAAATGAAGGTTGATATGCAAATGCAATAGAGGTACATGTCCCACATTTTTGGTCTTGTTCCAAATCTTTTTCTTTTCTTCTCTTATTTTTCTCATTCTATACACTTTCTGATTAATAATCATACATAAAATCTCATCAGAAATAAAATAAGTGTTTTGATGCACAAATGAAGTCCTAGATAATTTGCTCAACAGAAGGTCATTACCCAATGTTAGTTCAATTTATCTGGGGTATTGGTCTTGGGAGTGGTGGACTGGATACAGACCTAATCTTTTGGCACTCTTTTGCACAAAATGGCCTCTCTCAGACTTGTAACCTCATTCTCATGCTTGTCATCCCCAGGTTTTACCATTACACCAAACAATGGCCCCTAGAGAATTTTCCCAAAATCAAGAAAAAATCGAAGTTTCACATTTTTTGCTCTTTTGAAGTTTAATGAATAGAATTGAGTGTAGCGTTCAGGTACAAACTAATATATTTTGAATTTCTGTTGAAATCAATCTTACTTTGATAGAATTCAGTGCGGCGTTCAGGTACAAACTAATGCATTTTGCTTTTCCCATTACACCAAGCATTGACCCCTAGAGAATTTGCCCAAAATCAAAGTTTCAGATTTTTTTGCTTTTTTGAAGCTTAATGAATAGAATTGAGTGTGTCATTCAGGTACAAACTAATGTATTTTGAATTCCTGTTGAAATCAATCTTAATTTGATAGAGTTCTGGGAACTCTAAAGTAAGCATTCCTTATTTGAATACTTCTATTTTGACACCATGGGGAAACTAGCAGCGTGGATCATGATTGTAGGTCAAGATATCCTATATGTTAGGCCTACCAACATTTTTCATCGGTTCATACTTCATGCTTCATACAAAGTCTAATACAATTACTTTTCATTCAAAACTACATAAATATTTAAAAACAGATAAACACATGTATTAGGGAAACTTTTTAATCGATAAGCAATTCTATGTTGTGATGAAAACCTTATTTTACTAGATGCATGAAAAACATGCTTTTTATGCAAGGCATCTCGATCATTGACATGGGCCTCTGGGCATGAACCCCAGGGAATTTTCTCTAAGCCTCACACAATGAATCTCAATGCCTAAGCTAGACAGACCTTTTAAGACACTTATTTGAGAGTTGAGGTAGTGTGAACAGAAACTATCATGCTTTAACTTTAAATTTACATGCACAGACACTTTATACACTGGTTCAATTCAAGAAGGAAATTTTCCACTTAAATGTAGAATATTTTATAACTGAATATAAAATGGATAAAAATTAGAAAAAAATAATAATTACCGGATGTGTATAGAGCCTTCCTTTGCAGCTCGAAGAGTTGAATCCTCTGGTGGAAGTGACTTACACAAAGCCAAGGCCTCCTCAAAGTTGCCAGATGCAGTTAATTGTATTATCTGCATGAAGAAAAACACAATGAACAAGAGAGCATCATCACCAGTGTACAATCTGGAATATCTACAAAGTTAAGAGAGTGAAAACATGTATATCTTACTAGATATAACCAGAGGTAACAAATACACCCAATCTTAAGAGAAATAAGATTTATAAACTCTTAATACGAACACATAAAATGATCACATGCTTCTAATTGCTGAGCCAAGCATATTTAAGAAGTTGAAAACCAACCACCAATTTAACCACATGACCTAGGTAGACAAGATGAAACGAGACTATTGAAAAATTCCGCATTTATTGACATAAATATGAATGAATAATTCTGAAGTATAGTGAAGAGTTCCATTCATACCATATATCAAGTGCATTGTCAGTATCCACTATCTATATTGTATTTTTAAAAGGATAGGGTTCACATCAGCAGCTTCTCTCTCGCTGTTGTGCCTCAAGACCCTCTCAAAATTGTCAAATTTTTTGTTTATTTAAAAAAAAAATCCCATGACAAGATTAGCATTATCCCATTCACCTTGGAAACTTAAACCTTGAGTACCCATTAAAATGTTGTTAACTTTTTGGACTACCAAGTCCCACTACCTCCTTAGATCTCTGTCAATTTTCTCTTGATTAACTACTCCATTTTTTTGATAAATAATAAGTTAATAACTTCTTTTATTAGAAGAAGGATAAGAGTTAGTACAAACAACCCTTGTAAAGGCGCGAGTTGCGACCTCTCCTATCAAATGGAAAAACAGAATTCAAGCTACAGTTGTGCCCAAAACAACAGTTTCCTAACTGCCCCTTCTTTGGTTAGACAATCAGCTAAAGCATTTGCTGATCTCCCCATCCATTGTACTTGTATACACATATTCCTTGTCAGAAACTTGAACTTCTTAACTTCATTTCTGAAGAACCACACTACCGATTTTGAGTTTTGCAACCAGCTTATGACCACCTTGGAGTACCCTTCCACTATTAGCCTCTCCACCCCTAGTTTGAGTTGCAGACTGTACACTTTGCAGGGTAGCTAATAGTTCCACTCTAGTAGAGTCTCTCACTCCTAGGGGACCTGAGAAGAAGAAAACCACATTTCCGACCTTATTCCTTAAAGCCCCTTCCCAACCCAGAAGGCCTTGGGTTACCTTGACTACTACCATCAAAATTCAGCTTCAAAAATCCTTTAGGAGGTGTCTAGCCTGACCTTACTATAAACTTGGAGGATGAAGAGGGACAACTTGCCACTGCTAACCAATTCCTCCAAATATCGTTACAGGGAAATTGGTGGAACAAATCCAAATAATTCAACCAGTGAATAACCCTATTCAAGACACAATCCTTAATTTCCTCTTGATTTCTTTCCATATCTTTCCATATTCTAATATTTCTTACTTCCCATATTGTCCAAATCAGTGTTGCTCTTGCACACCTCCACATAATTTTACCTCTTTTTTGTTGCCAAGAAAAGGTGGAAGGATCAAACAACACACTTATTTCTGCTAGCAAGTTCTGCCTAACCCAAACAACAAGAATAATCAATCCCAAACCTCTACAATGAAAGAATAGGAAATTAGTAGATGGTAACAGTCCTCACCATGAAACTTACAAAGGATACACCAATTAGGAGAGATACAAAGGTGAGATCATTTTTGTAGATTATCCAAGGTATTTAGTTTCCTATGCAAACACTTCCTAACAACAAGTCGAAACATTTAGGGGAATAGGCCTGCACCAGACTTCTTAACAAGGAACACCTATTGAGAGTGAAATTGACAAATGACCTTGGAGAAAGATGCACAAGAAAAAGATCCTTTTGACCTAGGAGTCCAAACTCTTTTATTTGGTTCAAAGGGGTTCAAACAAACTCTCTCAAGTATGCTTAGAACACCCAATCTCCTCCTTTAAACCTCTACAAAATCCAAAATCCAAATTAGGGGCACAAGGAGTTTTCAAGGAAAAAAAAAAAAAAATTGGAAGGGAAGAGGTCTTTCAAGGGGACATCTCCAACCCAAATATCCTCTTAGGAAAAAAATAGAGAGGAACTGAGGTAGACTACTGTGAATTGCCTTCCAAGGAGTTGCTAGCTTTGCCCATCAAGATACACCAACATCCCACCCATTCTCTGATCGACCATGAATGCTTCCTACCACCTCATGCCACAACCTCTCTCTTTCCTATGACCACCGCCAAAGCCACTTTCCCACTTAATTAAGTGATCCTTTCTACTTTCCCCTAATTCCCAAAAAAGTCCCTCGTTAACTTTTCCAATTTCTTAGCTTCACTAGTTGGGATCCTAAAGACAGAAAGGAAATAGGTTGGTAGGTTGGCAAGTGTAGCTTTTATTAAGGTGATTCTACCACCAACAAGATGTAATTATTTTTCTACGAAGCCAATCTCTTCTTGAATTTTGTTACAACTAGGCACCAGAAACTACTCTCTTGAGGGTTTGCTTTTAAAGGAAGCCTTAAGTATGTTAGTGGTCAAGTAGAAATAGAACACTCTAAACACTTCTCATACCCACTTCTCATCTTCCAATAAATAGACTAGTTAAGGAAGGTTATTTTCCCATTCCCACTTCTTATCAAATTCCGGCCAAAGGGAAGGCTGCAGTCTCTCTTGTTCACCTCACTCAGATCTTGTGTCACCAGGTATGATTGTTCCTTTGGTGCAAATACTTCAGCACCCCATCTCGGAAGGGAAGGTGATGGTTTTAAGGGCATAGTCAGGGGGAATGAAGTGCTGTTAGAGGAGAATGATGTATCAAGACTTGATAAGGAATAGAAAGAGGAGGTGGAGAGATTTTGGAATTTGATTTGTTCAAAGTTCGAGGAGCTTAGGAGGAGGGAAGGGTATGTGGAAGAGAATTGTCAGAGGGAGGGGTTGTTAAGTGAGAATAAGAAGGAACCCAAAAAGGTAGAGAGTAAGGGGTTAGGTTTAACTCCAAAAAATCAAAAGGAAAATAGAGAGGTGAAATTGGTACTAGACAAGGAAAAGTAAAATCTTCTCATGGGAAGGTGGAGAAAAAAAGAAAATGAAAAGCAATAAAGAAACTCCTGCCCCCTTTATAACAACCTTGTCTTCATGGTTAATGCTTGGGTAGCATTGTTGCAGATGATAGTAGTCTTCCCATGTGGCATCTTCAGGTGTTAGGAATTTCCAGACCAGCAAGGCTTGTTAATTCAACTTATTACCATCTTTGATCCACTTGAAATCAGCAATGTGGTCTAGTTCCAATTATAAAACTCCGTCCTCGGAAAATCTGATAAGCTAGTTGAAGCAAAAGGTACAGGCCCCAAATGTTTCTTCAATAGAGATACATGAAATCTGGGTAAGTCACCTTACCCACTCTTGCTACAACACGGAGTGGACCATAAAATCTGGGGTCCAACTTTTGGGAGGATCGTTTAGCTAGGCTACCTTGTCAGTAAGTCCTCAGTTTCAAGTAAACCCAGTCCCCCACCTCAAACTAGACATCTCGATTTTTCTTATCATAGTGAGTCTTCATTTGCTGTTGAGCCTTTAGCAAGCTGGCCTTTAAGTCCTTAAGGACTGCATCTCTATCTGTCAGATGCGCATCCACTTCAGAAATAGTAGTGGATCCCCTTTTTTATGGTAGTATTTAAGGAGGTTCCCTTCTGTACAATGCGTGAAAAGGTGGTATACCAAAAGAAGCACGAAAAGAAGTATTATACCAGTATTCTGCCCATGGGAGCCACTTGATCCACTACCTGGATAATCACTAATGAAACACCAAAGGTAGGTCTCAAGGGAACAATTTACAACCTCTGTTGGTCGATTTGCGGATGATAGCTTGTAGAATGGTGGGGTTTCGCTCCCTGTACCCGAAAATATTCTAACTAGAACCAACTCATGAAAGCTGAGTCACGACCAGAAATAATAGTTTTGGGCATGCCATGTAAATGGAAAACCTCCTGAATAATAATTTTGGCCACTTGTGTTTAGGGCTGTTTATAAGACCGATCAACCCAGACTGACCCAATTCGAGTTGGCCGGGTTTTTATCAGCACCGGTCGGTTTCGGGTTGTACAAATTCATAAACTGATGGTTCGGGTCGGTTTTGGTTTTCTTGTGTGAAAACCGAAACCGACTCGAACTGAACCGACTTAATTCCTACTTAACTATTTAAATATAATATATATAAATATATATTTCGATTTTAAATTAAATCGACCTAATCTATTTAAATATATATTTCGATTTTAACTTAAATATATTTTATATTTAAAACTGTTAAATAAAGATATTTCAATTTTACATAAAAACTGAAATATCTAACAACCCAAACTTGCACCACACAGGCACATGGGCCATGGGGGGCATGGATGAACTTAGAGCCGAAACCGACCCAAACCGACCCAACCCGACTCAAACCGATCAAGTCGGTTTTGCTTAACACTGGGTCGGTTTCGGTTTCCATCTCAAGTAACCCGACCAGGTCGGGTCAGTTGGAAAAACCTCAATAAACCGACCCAACCCGACCCGTGAACAGCCCTACTTGTGTTGTAGTATATGGATGGGCTAATGGTGCAAAATGCGCATATTTGGATAATCGATCTACAGAAACAACAATGGCCATCTTACCACCAGAAGGGGGCAGACCCGTAATGAAATCCATAGTTGCCTCATAATTGACATATTGTGCAAGTGACAACATACTCTCAAATTTGTTTCTTCATGCCCATCCAGTAAAAATGAGATGATATCCTACGATAAGTTCGTAAAAATACCTGAATGTCCCCCTATGGGAGGAGCATGAAAAAGCTCCAAGAGGGCAAGAATCTAGGTTGAATTAGCCAATAACATCATTCTACCCTTATGCATAGAGGTGTAAATCGGGTCATGCTGGGCCGGGCCGACACGATATGGACTGCGTGCGGCCTGTATAAAGTGCGGGCCAAGCTGTGCTTCCCTCCCCTGGGATACTTCAGGGGGTCGGCCTGACGTGAACAACGGCCCGAGCCCATACAAGCCTGTGTCGGACTTG